CCCCCACATACGCCCAGTTCCTGGGAGAATGAGGCAAGTTGGGGAGTTGGGGGAAAGAGGCAGGAGGGGCAGGCTGGCGGCTCTGAGCTTCTCCGTGCAGCCCTCGGGGCCGGGTGCCTGGGCAGGAGGAGGGGGCAGAGCAGCTGCTGGCGATTTATTAAGCAGTCACGGAAAAATTGGTTTATAAATTAACAGCTGTTTTAACTTTAGGGCCTCTTCTTCAGGGAATGGAAGCAGCCGACTGGACCGGGATTGGAGGCTGGTGGAGGGGGTGGGAGGCGGCGGGCTCCGGCAGCTGGCATTCTTCGGGGCAGCCTCAGCTGGCACCTCGGGGGGCACCAGGCAGTGGCCAGAGCAGGGGGTCTCCAGGTGCCTGGGGCTGAGGCTGCCCGCACTGCGAGCTGCCTTCTTGCTCACTCTTCTTAACAACATCCCACCTGGGGGCGCCAGAGGGCCCAGATGCCGCTGTTCTCATGTCTGCCACCAGAGGGCAGCCTCGGCATACTGATTTCTGCTTCCCGGCGAGCCTCCCCCCACCCCCCACCGCCTCCGTCACCCCCCGCACCCCTCCCCCGCCCCGATCGGTCCAATCTGGGCTGGGTGAGGGAGAAACCCGGTCCAGTGCATGCAAGCGATCTTCCACTGAGTATCCTGAATGTTTGGAAGGCAGCAGTAAAGAGGGAGAGCTCTGGAGTCAGACTGTCTGCGTTTGAACCCAGGCTCCAGGCAAAAGCTCTGAGCCTCAATTTGTCTCATCTGTAAAATGGAATGATACTAATGAGGATTAAGTGAGCTAATACATATAAAAGGCCCAGCGCCCAGCACAGAGCAAATGGTCCATATTTCACCCGTTGTCAATTTATATGACTTACGTATTCATCTATTCATTCATTCCTCAATCCATCCCCTCTACAGCATGTAGCGCCTACTGTATTCTGGGCACTATGGCAGGCAGGTGATGATGCAAAGACAGATGGTGGGAAGGACACGTCTCAAAATAGTGTGCTAAGAGTTATGATACACCCAGTGAGGGGGGAGAGGAGGTTGATTTGGATGAGGTAAAAGAGAATGTTTTGGGGTGATGAATACATTCTATATCTGTATTGTGGTAGGGGTCACGTGTATAAAATTCTCAAAAACTCATAGAAGTGTATACTTTAAATTGGTACATTTTATTTTATATAAGCTCCAGCTCAATAAAGTTGATTTTAAAAAAAAGCACCCAATGTGAATTTATTGAATGGGTAAAGGGATGGATGATGGATGAATGAGTGTGTGAATGAATGTCTCAGATGATTGCCCCCCTGTCCTGGTGCCACCGTTGTCCCGGCTGAGGGTGCCGTCACACTCTCCTCTCCGTGTCCACGGGTTTCCCCAGAGGTGGGCCTTGGAATTCTTCCGTCCCTCTTCCCCGTCTCCTCTCCATCAGCAGAAGAGGGAAAGATGCCCTAGTGTGCCCAGCTAGCGTTCCCTGGCTTCTCTAAGGTTGCTTCCCCGGGCTTCCGGGGGCCTCCCTTCCAGCTGCCACATGCCAACCCAGCCAACTCCACTCAGCTCCGTGGTGCCAAGGTCACGGGTGTGATGCCCAACTACAGCCCCAAGGTGCCAGCAGTGCCGCGCCCAAACCCTGGCCGACTCCGGCACCTGCTGGCCCTTTTGGGAACTGCATCCCTTGAGCTCCGGGGAGCCTGGGACCTTTGTTGAAGACGTGTTATCAGGAGCCCTGTGCTGGGCTGGGGGTTTTGTCAGTTTTATCTTATTGAATAGTCCCAGCTACCGTGTGAGGTGGGTTTTGAAACATGAGGAAACTGAGGCACAGAGAGGCTCAGAAATTTGTTTAACGTCACACAGTAAGTTACAGACCTAAGATTCCTACCCAAGTCTGTCCAACTCCCCAGTTTGTGTTCTGTCCACGAGACTGTATCTTGCTTGGGGGAAGGGAAGGAATATTCGAGATGGTCCACTCTCCCCATCTCCCAGGAAGAGGGCAAAGGTCTCACACTTCCAGAGAAGGCAAATAGTGCCTCCTGTACGCCGGGCACTGTGGCTGGCACCAGGCAATGATGTGAACAGAAATTGTGTGCTCAGAATAGTGAGCTGAGGCCTATGATACATTAATAGACACCCTGTGACAAACTTTTTTGTCAGTCCAAGCAGAAAGACCCATAGTTCAATCGGAGTTAAGTCAAACAAGGTCTTGAATTAGTTCCTTGGACCCAACCACCCTTCTAACTCAAGAATAATAAGGGAGGAGTGGCATATTATTTTTAAATCTCATTTGCATATGATTAATTCTAAGTCAAAGAGAATGGAGGTCACCCCTGTCCCTTGCTTCCCAGCCCTTCCAAGAGGTGCCTGACCCTGGCCACCTCCCCCAGCCCCTGCTGGGCTTCCCCGTCCCCACCAGTCCCTCCCCACTCCTTGTTCCTGCCCACACCTCCCCCAGCTCCCAGAAGTCCCTTCCCTTCCTCCTCTGTCACCCACGCAGCCCCCGCCACCTGGCCGCCCACCTGAAAAACTTTTCCCCAAGTTCTTGAGAAGTCGCGTAGGATCCAGTAGAGAAAAATCAAAGTAATAAAACCTCATTTAATTCCTAACGGAGGGCAGAGCTGTGAGCTGCAATTATCTTAATGCTGAGCTATTTTTACTCTCTCTCCATCTCTGTCTCCTGCCTCTCTCCAGCGTGAGCTTTCTCTTTCTCCCTGTGTCTCTCCGTCTCTCACATGTGTTTTCTCCGTCTCTTTCGTCTCGATTTTTCCTACCTCTCCCCCTTTCTCTCTCTCACCTCTTGCCTCTTTTATCCTTCCTTCCCTTCCTCCTCCTTCCTGTCTGTCCCTCACACCTGTACCTGCCAGCCAGTCTTCCCCACCCTTCTTGGTCCCAGGGTTTAGCAGCCAGAGTTAAACACCCTCCCCTCCACCCTCAAAGAACCCATCTTCCAGGCCTGGCTGAGAGGGGAAAGTCTCCCTTCCCAGCTGCCCCAGCCTGGGTCAGGGGAATTTTTCCTGGTTCCGAGTCTCCCAGAGCTCCAATCCTTTTGGCAGAACATCCATAAACAAGTCCTCCCTGGTCAAAAGAGCCTCAGCCACCGTGGTTCTCAAGGTCTTCTCAGCTCTGATGGGCTCTGAGTGCGACTGGTGGGGATAGCTCCTTGTCTCTGTCCTCTCGTCACCCACCCAGCTGTCCTCTGTTCCCTCATCCCGCCCCAGGACCTTCCCACCCCCCAGCACTGGAAGCCACAGGCTCCTCACCCTGCCCTTGTCCCAGTGGCCACTCCCGTTACTGCCTGGGCCATACCCTTCCTGTGCCCTTTCTGACTTTCAGGACCTTCTTATTTACCCTCCCAAGGCCCTGCCAAACTGGTGTTTGCCACTCCCCGCCACACCCCGTCTGGAAGAGGGGTCTGGGCCAAGCCAGGGGCTGCAGGAGATGCCCACACCCTGGGCAAGCAACCTGGCATCCGGCTGTTTCCCAACAAGCATATAAGTCAACAAACACAGCAGGACTTGAGCCAGGCTTGGGGTTGGGAGGAGTGGAGCTGAGCGGCCAGGGCTTCCAGCTCCCATGAGCAAAGCTGTGCCCTCCTGCCACCCTCTCCTTCACCCCCAGAGTGGGCACTGACCCTGGGGCACAACATCCTGCCCCTGACTCCATTTCCACAAGACTCTTCTGGCCTCTTGCTCCCTCCTCGCCCTGCCAAAGACCCAGCATGCTGGGGCTGGGAGTGGAAAAGTTGCTGGAAGAGTGAGGGGGAGGGCTCATGCCTGTTCCAAGTCCAAGTGTGACCAGGAGAGATCACAGCCAACACAAACAGAGCCCCAGGAAGACACATACATGTGTACAATATGTACACCTCTACACACACCCTCTCAGCACCACAGAGAGGCATTCAGACCCTCACCCACGGGCCTGCAGAGGGAGACACCAGCTTCTGCAGATACCCAGGGTCTGACAGATAAACAGGGACACTCCACCCTACAGGGCCAGCTCCTCTCCTTTCTCCTCTCCAGAGACACACAGACACCTCTGCAGAGAGAGGTTCACACCTCAGAAATGAGCACAGGCACCTGTCCTCTCAGCTCTGTTCCTGAATGCACCAAACTCACACACGTGATGGCACGTGTACTGGTACAGGCAGCCCCCCCAGCGCCCCCAAATCTGTCCCTCTGGGCTGGCTCTGTCTCCCCTCTTAAATCTGGGGAAAAAAGGCAGCAGACACGTGAATCCAGGGTACATCATGGCAGGGTCACATCCCCTCTCCCCTCCCAGGCGTGCTCACAGGATCACGACCTCATCCCCCCTCTACTGGCAGACTAGAGCTGTGGATACAGTACCCCCACCCCCTGCAAGCTGGCACACGCCTGCCCATCACCTTGACAGCCTCTGACATCCTCCCCCACACCCACACCCTCCTCCCCACACACATAGTCCTCCCACATCCTGCCACTCACACCAGCATCCTTGACACTCTGACACACTTACTCACACAGACTCTCACACACTCATACCACACCGACCTCTCCCCCCCCCCACACACACACTCCCCAGCTATAGGCACCACAGGGCCCCTGGCACTCACTCACACACACAGTCCCTGCAATGATGACTGACACATGTCCTCCCACACACAACCCGCTCTTCCACACTCACTCGCTTCCTAGGACACCCCCATTCACAGCGTGACATGCTGGTGGTACTCTCCACGTCCTCACAGGCCTCCCCATGAAACTCCAAGTACCCAGGCCATGAATGGGTTAAGGCCAGAGTCCTGTCTCCCTGCTGCCCCTCTCCCCCTCGGCCTCCCCCCATTATCCTCCCTGCTGGACTCCATCAATAATGCAGCTTCAAGTTCTGGGGAGACCGCAGGGGGCCCCCAGCCTGATCCCCCGGCCCTGGCTCACACTCCCCATCCTCCTCCGGGCCCGGGAAGAACACGGTTCCCGGTGCTCATTGGCCACTTTCTCCTAAGCCCTCCCACCAAGCACCCGGGCGCCAGTCCCAGGCCGAGGGGACGGGCTGGGGACCCCAAGGCTGGGGCCAGAGGGGTGACACCAAGAGAGAGGGAGAGAGGCAGAGACAGAGACACACGGAGAGGGAGAGAGAGGAACGGCGGAGAGACAGAGAAGAGACACACAGAGACACTCAGAGAGAGTGAGGGAAGGAGGGGAGAGGCAGAGACACAGAGAGAGACAGAGACACAGAGACAAGCGAGCCGGGGGCCCGAGGGTGGAGGCACGAGGTGACCGGGGTGCGGACGCAGCGCAGCGCGAGGCGGATCAGCCCCAGAGCCGGGGGGCACTCGGAGCCCGGCGCCGACCCCTCCTCCCGCCCGTGTGCCCTCCCCTCGCTGAGCGCGGTATTTTTATCTGTGCGCGAACAGCCTTCCTCCTCCTCCTCGCCGCACAGCCCGCTGTCGCCGCGGCGCCCGGAGCAGCGCGGGGGAGCCCAGCCGGGACCGTGCGCCCCCGCCCCACTGACCACCCCGCCCGCCATGGACCCCAAGGACCGCAAGAAGATCCAGTTCTCCGTGCCCGCGCCCCCCAGCCAGCTTGACCCTCGCCAGGTGGAGATGGTAAGGGGCCGCGCCCACCCCTGCAGAGCCCCCCACACTCCGGGGCCTCTCTGCGCTCCCGGGCGCTGCCAGTTCCGGACTGGCCCGGGAGATGGGGGGCGAAGGAGAGTCCCGGGCCGCCTCGGACACGGCGGGGGCGCGGGGCCGCGCGGGAAGTTCGCTGGAAACTCGTGCAACTTTTTCCCAGGGCTTCCGTCCTGATCCCCGGGCGGGAGAATTCTGGGCCGTCCCGGGAGGGGGGGCTGTGCTCTGGACCCCGCACAGTGTCCTCCTTCCCTAGGCTACCACCAGGACCCCTGCGCCCTGGTCCCAGCCAGCCCTGGTCAGATGTGAGAAACGTGGTGCACTGACCCATTCATTATGCAAAGCCGGCCTGCCCCTCTGCTCGCCCCCTGCTCTGCCTCTCTCTAGTGCCACCCTGTATGGCTGGGCTGGGGTCGCCAGAACCTTGTTCTGACCTCATTCTGCTGTCAGGCCCTAGACAGAGCCAGAACCTGGGCGGGGGGGGGGGGGGGGGGGGGGG